CATTTGTTCCTGAAGGTTGGGGGCTTCCATAGTGCTCAGGCGCCGTATGTCGACATCATTGAGACCCAAACCCGTCATACTGACAGTGTCTGTTGGTGCCCGCCTTGGACAGTCAGTCCGAGATGCCGTGTATCCCAAATCCTGCAACTGCCGCTTCTTGGCTCCCTGCGGACTGTTTCGAAGTGAGACATGTCTCGCGTAGGAGGTCCAGATGTGCGGCTGCCGGAAGTTGGTCAAAGTATGCCTTGTGCAAAGTGCTTCTTCCTTGAAAAGTGCGGGTCTTCGGGAACTCAACCAACAGAGCTCTCACACCCGAGAGGTGCCTTGCATGGGTAATTCGCAAGAAGTAGTCATCTGCGACGCTCCCCGATCCTTTCAGTAGCCGCCTGCGCAGGAAGAAGATCCTAAGGGCCCCAGAGCATGTCACTTCTTGAAGCCTAGGGTTTAGGGTTTAGGGCTTAGGGTTTAGGGTTTAGGGTTTAGGGTTTATTATCCCAAACACCCCCTTGTCGTTGTAGTACCCTTGGGTGGAAAAGGCCGACAGAGCCTCTCGGCCCCTTTTGGTGGGACTCCGATCCAGTGAGGCCTCAGACTGCAGGGACTGCCCTTCTCGGCGACCGAGGACGAGGTGGGACGAGCTCCTGAAATCTTCAAACGCCGAAGATAGGGTTCAGCAAAAATGCGAGTACTACCATTCCTTAGGGTTCCCTTCACGTGTTTTTTTTGGTGCTGATGCGAAAAAACGCCAGAACCATGTTGTCATATTCAAGCACCCATATCAAGCCCGAAGATATTTCCCTGTCAATACTTGAATACATGGGTGAAGCTACCTTCAAGTAGAAGCAACATGGGCTTTCTCTGCGGTGGGAATAGATTAAGTTAGCAGGACCTAGGAAATGACAAGTGGTGCATGTTCCTTGGAGGATTCTGGTGCAGATTGCGCGGTGTTTGAGAGGTCTTGGGCAGTTCAGGGTGTGGGAGGAGCTGGTGGCTCATAGGTTTTGTATGGCCTTGTCGAGAGGCTTGTTGTGTGATGTGGGATTGGAGCCAGTAAAAGAGAGTCTTTTCGCGTGCTAACACCTGAACCCGGGAGCTCAAACCAAAGCAGCCATGATGGTGTTACCAAGAAGGAAGAAAGTCGGCACGTTTTCAGCCCTTACGGCAGAGGCTTGATCCGTTCGCGAAGGATCCGTTTAAAAAGTTGCATTACCCCAAAAGCTGAAGGAGAATGCTCACACGAAGGCTGATGAGAGCAATGTAGCACTTCGGGTCTTCATGCAGCTGTTGCCCTTCGGAGTGCACTCTCACAGTTCATTGAGCCTGAACCAGTGCAAAACCTGGTCCTGAAGGTGAGGGCATTCTTCGCTGGCTACCAGATGACCGGCAGGATTCACCTGAAGGCACCAGCTTAGCGCTCGCGCTGTAGTTGAGCAAATGCATCTCGCTTCCCACTTCGGTACTTCGGCTGTTTCGCCTGGGTGAAGGTATTTAGGATTGTTCCTAGAGGCTTAGTTTGTTCTGGTCGGTCATTTAAGTTTCCGACTGTCTACACCCTAAGCCCCCACCACATAAATCTTTTAGATGGGCATCGGAATGTTGCCGCCGAAAACCTAAACCCGAGACTTCATCTATTGTTGGCAAGTGCTGGGTTGCCATGTGTTGAGGAAGCATCACCGCAGCACAACCGGAGAGTCCAAAGCCCCTCCTTGAACTCAGGACATCGCATCTGTAGACTGAGCTTCATAGCAAGACATCTTAGCGCAGGGGCAGTGTGTATTTTTGAGCTCGTAAAGCCTCCTAAAGTTTAGGTACAGATTTCCCGAGAATTTGAGATCCCCAAAACTGCCACAAAGCAAGAAAAAGAGTCCCAGAGGCCGCAAACTTCGTGGGTTACGTAGCAAGGGAAGGCTCGTCCTCAGACCCAAGCTCTTTTCTCCTCCTCCTCATTTGACCCCACACTAGATGGACGACTCCGGCCGCCCTTCGGGCATCGGCTTCGTGGAGTTCGTCTCTGCAGAGGAGGCCGGTGTGGGTTTGTGTTTGTGTTAACGGGATACCGGTAGATAGGGGTCCTTCTGGTGAAGGCAGGGCCTGTCACAGCCCGGCCAAAGTTGAGGGTCGAGTGTCTTTGGAGTTACCTGACGAGTAAAGGCCGACAATTACAGAGCAATAGTCCGGGCTACTAGCCTAGAGACGGTCGTGATGGAGCAGAGGAGGAGGGAGGAGGAGGCGGAGGAGGATCATGATGATCATCGTCATGATGATGGCGATGATCTTCACATCTTCGCAAAGCATGCCAAGAACAATGACAGTCAAACTCCCAAAGCCGGCAGCGTGGCCAGACACCTCAATGCAGACTCTGATTTGCCTAGGGATCCGTTGTCTAGAGCAATGCCCGAAGGCAAGCTGTGCTTTCCGCTTCGGAGTGTGAGGGTTCAGGCGAAAGGCCATGGCCAGCAATGCCTGTCTCGAAGAGTCTGAGTCAACATCCGTTCCCAGATATCTGACCCCAACATCGGCATTGATAAGACTTGAGCCTCAGCGCCCTCTCCGCAACACACAACAAAAGCAAGCACAAGCCAACAGTGAGAGGGAGGCGAATCCATGTACACGACGACAAGAATGTCCCCAGCCGCCCCCAGGCTAAGAGAGCCTACACTGAGAAGAACTTCCAGACAATCGGCACGAGGCCTCGCGCCTGCACTACGTAGGTCAGGGTTTAGGAGGGTTTAGGGTTCTCGCACCTGCACAGCAGGTCAGGGCCCAGGGCCCCCCCCCCTTTTTATCTGGTTTGTTCGTTTTCGGGTACTCGTACCCCGGGTGAGCTGTGGCTTACCTTGTCCAAACCGTAGGTTGCTTTTCTGCGGAGAAGACAGTTGTGTTCAGCAGCTTCTTTTCGTGCTGGCTTAGTACGTTGCGACTGTTTGGTTGGGTAGGTGAATGTTGATTGTTTGTCTCTGTGTCGGTTGATTTGCTCCGGTACTAGACCGAGTAGTGTCTCCAGAGCTTTTCTGCTTGGCTTTCGTGTCCATCTGTAGGCAGCACCAGGATCATGACGTTGGGCCTCAGCCTCTAAAACCTTAAACTCTTAAACGTTAAACCCCTACTGACAAAAATCCTAAGCCCAAAACTCAAAGCTTGCGCTTTTGCACGCTTCTGGGTTGAAAAGGCTGGGGATCTCCACAAGCTCAGTCAGCCGAGGTACGTGGAACTCATGGAGGCCATGAACCTCGGCTATTCACGAGACTCTGGGTTTTTGTCTTTTGGGTGTTTGGGTTCTGCATGCGTCCGTGTGTGTGTGTGTGTGTGTGTGTAGTAGTAGTAGTAGTAGTAGTAGTAGTAGTTGGGGGTTCGGGCTTTGTTGTGTTGTTGGGGAAATGTAGTGGTTGTTGGCGTCGAGGTTTAAGCCTTCAGGGCCTCAAACTGCGAGCATTCGGGTTTGGGCTTCACGATTGAGCACTGCAGCTGAGTCCGTGCTGAGGGCCGCTTTCAAATGCCTGAACGGGCCGTGCGCAAACACGACGAAGAGATCACTGTCTAGTTTTTATTGAGTTATTGAGGTCATGCAAAATGGGATCAAACGAATTGGGCGACTCTGGACAGATGGATCCTGAACTTGTTGTGGGGATAGTGCCAAAGGAGGTGTGGCTGACGGCTGACGTGACTGACGGTGGCCGGTGTCAGACAGACGCCATGTGTGAGTTGTGAAGACCATACTGGGAACAAATGATTCAAGATTAGTTGTATGAACTAGTCAAATTTCGAAGCGCGTCTTGAAGAAGAGCTGTTACGAAAACCCGCAAGAACATAGAAACAGGACCTGCAGCAGAAGTCGTCGTCGTAGCAGTAGCAGCAGTAGTGGCAGCAGTACTGGTATTCTCATCCGAATCTAATACTGGCACAAGGACGAATAGGCCTACTACAAACCTCAGAGGCAAAGTCGTCCATCGCTTCGTGCGACGTTTCGCTTTTGGATGCGGCCGTAGTTGTTGGGGCTTCGACCTTCGAGCTGCAGAGTTTGGTGCATGTGTGCGTGTGTGCATGTCCTCTCCAAGATCTAGCCGTGCCCTTGGGCATCCAGGCTTCGAGATGCTCCACACCATTAAGCTCAAAGTTAAGATAAAAGCCTACGACTGCGAAATCCCGGAAGCCCCCCCCCCCCCCCCGAATGAACATAGTGCATAAGCTCACCAAGCCAAGAAAAGGCTCTAAGACTCTGAGGGTCCACTTTCATAAATCCCCTCGCAAACCAAGAGCTGAGGCCTAGGGACATTGACCTCTACTTGAACCATGGTGGCATCCGAGCCTTCTGAACTAATGGACCTGTGCCTCGGCAGTCGTTGAGGGGCTGAGGGTTAAAGGTGGGGTTCGGGGATTTTGGGGATTTAGGGCTTAGGGTTCTTTTTGGGGTTTAAGGCCTTGGGGCCCAGGGTTAGAGGATTTTGGCAGGGTTGAAATCTGGCAGCACGAAGCACTTAGTCATCACAGGTTCCCTGAGGGCTTCCTGATACAATGAGAAAGTCGTGCCAAAGCCATAAACGCCTCAGCCTCACTGCTGGGCCTTTGTTATTGCCTGAAGGGCCACTGAGTCCTTGTTCTTCACAGCGGATTTCAGGAACCGGAGGGATTGATGCTGGAAGAAACTTGAAACTTCGCTTGAAGCTCTTGGGTTCCACTCCTGCAGAGTGAGAGTGCGCCGGCAGACCCTTGGACATGTTGACAGCGAAGGCCGGCCGAAGATCGAACGGAACTCCAAGCAATGCGGTTGCCACTCCTGCTGTGTCTCAAGAGTTGACTACAGTGAGGGAGCAAGGTTCTTCTGAGGCTTTCAGATTGCTTTCAGCAAAGCTGTCTGCAGCTGATGACACGCATTGGCCAATTCTGAGCTATGAGTGGCGATTTGGGAGTGATTCAGAGATATGAGCCAGCCCCGCTTTTGACCATTCAGTATACTCTGTAAGCTTCTCGCCATCCTATCATATGAATAAGAAGTCGCCATGATGTTCCAGCATAGACTGATCTGCTTCACTTTCCCTACACCATCGAAGATTCTCAGCGGGGGCGTGGCCCAATTTGGACATAATGCACCTATCAAGACATTGTCCGGCACTCTGCGACATCCGGCACACGAGAAAGGTCGCGGAAAAGGATTGCAGCTCTTGCGTCAGAGATTGCAGGTAGCAGATCCCCTCCAAGAAGAATCTTACAGCTCGCCACCGCGAGGACCTTCGCTTGCCCCTACTTCGAGGTCTGCGCTGCTGGATCGTGGCCAGCTTTTATTATCTTCACGATGATGATGCTGATGCTGCTGATGATGATGATGATGATGCGGATAAGGATGAGGATGACGATGATGATAATGGTGATGAGGATGACGATGAAGATGAGGATGATGATGGTGATGGTGATGATGATGACGATGGTGATGATGGTGATGATGATGGCAAAGATGGTGGTGCTGATGATGATGATGCTGATGATGATGATGATGACCATAATGGTGATGTTGACGATGATGATGATGTCGATGATGGTGGCGACGGTTATTGAGATGATGATGATGATGATGGTTGTGGTTGTTGTGACGGGGGAGATGAAGATTGCTGCAGAACACCTGCTTCTCTGAAGGTTGGGAGAATTAGGGACCAATAACACGAACCGAAACTTTGGAAACCCCAAGGCACGTTTCACAGATTTGGGCTCTTTGGGTATACTTGTGTACGTGTGAACCCTGAAACCACATCCACTAGAAGAAAGCAACTCATACTTGCTAACGTAGACAGCCGCCGGCCATGGGTCACGAGCGGGATCAGCAAATGGTACAGCAAAAGGTTTCGGTTCAAACGCCGCAGCGCATGCCCGCGAAACCGAAGACCCTGAAGGTCTGAGGCCCGGCACTGCTCTGTAAAGCATTAAACTCATTGAATCCTCAGCCATAACCTCCCCAAAGCCCGGAGCTTTGAGCCCAAAGTCACCGAGACCCTCAACTCTTGATCCCGAAAATGCCCGAAACCCTAAGCCCTTAAGCCTACGCTCTAAAACCTTTCTCTAAACAGCTTTCTGCTTGCCGAGGTTCCCGACCACACGCAGACTCTGCGTGCCGGGGAGTGTTTCATCCAAGCTCCTCACCGAAGCGGTGCCCCATCACTCTTGGGCAAGGACCCTGGACTAAGTCTGTAGGGGAGCAATTGGAAGGGATGCTTCCGCGCTCGCGACATGCGGCTGTGGCTTGGGCGGGTTCATGGGTTCAGACTAGGTTTGGAGAGTGGGAATTGTGGCGGTTAAACGCTTAGGGTTTCAGGGTTTAGCGGTTTGGTGTGTTGCAGTTGTGGGGTTTGTGGGTTAAGGGTTTCGGGGCCATTATTTCAAGTCGATCTTGTCGGGAACTGGCCTCCCAGCAGATCTCCGAGGATTCCGAACCTTTCTTCTGCTTAGGGCTGTGACACCGGTAATGCTGTAAGGCTTGGGTCTCAGGTTATTCACCATAGTGCTTTGGTGCTTCCGGTTTTGGGTTTGTTGTGTGCTTCCGGTTTGGGGTTTGTTGTATGGCGTCGGGTAGAGGGCTTCGATTTTACGGTTTTCTGGTTTGCAAGAGGCAAACTTAGAGTGCAAGAAGGGGAGGAGAGGCAGAGTTAGACGGAGAGACACTCTTGGAACCCGTGGGTTAATTCGGTGGTAAATGCAGCCAACTGGAGCTCAATCAAGTGCAGCACCATTCCTTCACATTCCTTGTTGCAGGGAGGGGGTGGGCTGCTTGCCAACTAGCCCGTTTCTGCACAAACTTTGGCGTTTCGATATGCTACTCTCCAACCCTACAGCTCAAGCCGAAATCCACGACCTTCAAATCCAACTATACTTACGGTCCTTTGTCATTCCTCGCAGGAGGTCGTGCTCATCCGAAGCCCCTGCTACCACAACAGCGCGGTGCTCAAGCTTCGGGTTCCCGACGAGCTGCCACCAGGCCTTCGACGGGAGAAAGCCTCGCAAAAGAGATGATCTAGGGGCCTCTAGGATAAGAAACTGGGTTCGGGGGTGTGTTGTAGTACGAGAACATCTACAGTCTGTGGTCATACTTGCTTTCTACTTTCTATATACCGGGATGTGTATGTGTCTATGCATAAGTATGTTATAGCAAGAGCAGGCATGCACACAGAGGGACGGCCATGGAGGAATGTATGTATGCCGGTACGCAAGTAGGATGCATGGATGTGTGTATGCGCACATGCATGCATGTGTGCGCATATGTTTTCTCGTGCGTGCAAGTTCCGATCCGGGAACCCACAGCACCAGCCATTGTAGAGTAAACGGTATGGAAAATGAGAAGCAAACACAAGAGACCTACACAGAAAACTAACTACCGAAGAGGAGATTGCTTAGCCGAAATGCTTTAATGAGGCTGGCATGGACCGATCGGCGGCTCGGGTTTCGTGCACTCCGTGGTCCACAGAGAGAAACACCCTCCAAAAGCAGCAAGACTAACAGTCGCTTCAGAATGGCATCAGAAAGGAGATACCCCCGTGACGAAAACTTCTCATCAATACCGGAAATCAGAAGCGTACCTGGCGAAGAGTCGTTAATGTAAGTGGTGCCCATTACAGATGTCTCATTCACACGCACATACACACACACACACACGCACACACATGTACATATACATATACTGTACATGTATGTAATGTGGTACCTATGCACACATGCATCGCGTATGCATATTCACAAGCATATACATATGTGCACGATGTAAATGTAGGTGTCATTATTGCGATGATTCGGTTCATCTTGCGACCGTACTTGCGCTCAGTGTTGTTTTCTCGTCTGTTCTGTTCGATTGCTGTGGTATGTTTGATAAATTTCCGTGACAAGCATTGTTCCTTTCACACCTTTCAGCATGCTTTCTATTGTTAGTCTTACTACAATACGGTACTGCTCTTCGCATATCTTCCTTCCTGGAGGCCTCTCTCACATGGTGAATGTGGTCGTTCTGAATGCGTGCAGCTTCCGACAGCAGCCGGCAGACGCCGAGGTCTGGGATGCACAATAATCTGCAAAACATCCTACCACTACTTACAGGTAGGCAGGCAGGCAGGTAGGTAGGTATGTAGGTAGGTACATATCTACGCCGATGCAGAGAAAGAGAGTTTCATGCATACATGGTTCAATAATAATATAGGACAAGACTAGAATGGAAACAGTGGCGAGAACAACATTATGGCAATGGCGAGTATACAGACTGATGGAGCAGACGAACCGGTGTTTTCGAAACTAACCATACCGTTCTACAGGTCATCATGCCTCCTACAGGAATCTGCATAGCTTCTTCGGGGGGGTCTTACAATCGGGCTCCTACAGTTGTTGAGAATCTGGCCTTTTGCTCGCACCACGCAGTATCAAATCCCATAACCCGACAGTTTGTGTCTTGAGAGCAGAGGTCATGGGCGGAGACCATGACGGAGATCAGGTTTTGCTGATTTGGGATCAGGAGATGCCTGGCTTCTTCTAATTTGCTGTAGCCCCAACCTTAACTCCCCGGTGCTTCGCATCCATACGCCAGGTTGGCGTCCCTGTCGGAAGATACTCAAATGGGCCTGTTTGTTGAGGACCCCTCTTTCTTGTGAAGTTAAGTTTCGCGCGCTGCTTGATTGCGCAGGTTGAAAGATCTGACCATGCCACAAAGCGACTTTGCCCTGGGGCTCCAAGCATACAAATAGTACCTACTTTAGTGTCAGTCTATAAATAGTACCTACTTTGGGCTATTTGGAGCCCCAGGGTATGCCCTAAGCCCCCGGGCAAATCTTCACGGACCATGCGGATGCTTGGAGTTTCTGCGCTTAGGATCGTGGATCAAGTGGTGCCTTCCGTGGTACGCGTGGAAGATGCCAGCTTTGAAGAGCGGAGCCAGAAGACTCTGCAGGAGGCGACTTCAGAATCATCCATTTAGCATTTTGTAGTGTGTTTATAAGCTTTTACGAGATCTTCTAAGTCTTGCAAGTCTTTAGTCGTCACTCTTCGGGTGGGGCTTTGCGGTGTCGGATCAGCCTGCCCCCCAACCCCGAGACAGCATCCAATATGGACATGATTGCATGCGCAAGGCGTACTCAATCCGCAACCACCGAGACACTCACTGTATCTAGATGCTGCAGAAACGCTTTTTACACGGATACTTCAGAAGTTGGGGTGCAAGAGCTCCAAATGAGGGTTTACAACAATCTAAGTTACAGTGACCCCACTTGTTACAGACCTACTTGGTCTGTGATCCCTCTTGTCGCGTGCGAAAGGCTTCTCTTGCGGAGCTTCCGGGCTTGATGTTGGATGAGCTGGAGATGGCTGCGCTTCGTCTGCAGGGTTTTCAGGGTGCCTGGGTCTGACGCTGCTTGAGCTGTTTCCCCTTCCGGGTTCAGGATCCGGTTTTTGCCGGTCTTGCCGAGGAGAGAGAGGGGATGGGAAACCAGAACACAACAACAAGAGGATCCGCGTAGGACCGCTTCGTCTCGTTATTCCATGTCATTCCGGCAGGACCCCACATGCCTCACACACCCCTCACCTGTTCCCCTGGTTGGCCTCTCTCGTGCTCTGAACCCGGCGCAAGTGAGGAATGTGCCTTCAGATGTTGTCCCGAAGGTACATGTTGAGCTCCTTGGAGCCCTGGGTGTAAGAATCTCTCCTCTTTCCGCCCCCTAAGTTTGAGAACCGCTGAGGCTCGATCACATCAGGTCTTTCGCGAGGCGGACAACAAACGAAGGGATTGGGTGGACGAGGAGGGCTTCGATGGAGAGCATGCACTCCGACACTTGCCTGACGTGACGACCTCATCCAAGGAGGGAAGCCCACTATGCACAAGGGTAGCTGTCCCTGCTTCCAGCTCCTTGTGCAGTTCGGAGGTCCACAATTTCACAAGAAGTCACTCTTTCAACTGCTCCAGGCGCAGTAGTCCGAAGGTCCAGAATCTGAACGAGTAGTCATTCAATCAACCTCTTCCCTGAAAACATCAACTCCCCTCGACCCTGAAATGTTGACCCCGACTTATAAAATCCGAAGCCCAGAAGCAATCGCCAAACCGTAAGCCTTCAACCTCAACAGCCCAAAAGCAGAGCAAAACCGTAAGACCTGAGCTCTGAGTCTCAAACCGCGGCATCCTCGTCTAAGCCCGGAAACCCTCCCTAAACCCTAAACCCTAAACCCTAATCCCTTAACCCTTAGCAAACCCTGCAGCCTTGGCGCAGAGAGCCCAGGACTTGCTGGGATTTGCCAAGTCGGCGTGGACTGCGCCAGCAACGGCCGCCGCTCGCCTCCTTGAAAACTTCGAGTCCCCTAAAAAGCTGAAAAAGAGAGGTTTCGGGTTTAGGGTTTAGGGTTTAGGGTTTAGGGTTTAGGGTTTAGGGTTTAGGGTTTCGGCTTTGGGTTTTCCAGGACTAGGACTTCAGTAGTGTATGGGCTGGGTTTTGGTCATGAAACAGTTTTCTTCAGGAGTATAGGCATCCGAAGATTTCCTCGTTAGGATCCCAAACGGTGTGACGCTGTTCGGGCCGGGCGAGGAATCCTAAGCCAGTCACAAGTAAGTGCGATTTGAATTGCTGTCACCATGACCCATTCGGGTGTAGATGCCACATCATCTTCACGATGGCTATTCTGGCTGGGATGGAAGTCGTTGCTCCGTTCGTGTCTACGCATGTTGCAGGCCCTACAAAGTCAACGGGGCGTAGAACGCTTGCTCTTGAACCCTAAACCTTCTCCACCGCCCAGGAACCATCGAAATTCCTACGGAGCTAAAAAAATCTAAGCGTCCTGACTGGTCCGTGAAGTCCAAGAAGATGCAGCACAAGATCCGGATCTCGGAGCAGGCGGGGATGAAAAGTATAGGAATCTAGGATTGGAGTTTCGGATTCATTGATTTTGTAGTGGAAAATTTGGGTGTTAGGGTTTCGAGCTGGGTCGAAGTCTCTCTCCTTTGCCGGGTTCGTTGTCCTGCCTTCCTAGGCGATGTAGCATGGCCATTGTTTCCATTAGTCCACTCAGGATTTTCAGTAGTAGTAGTAGTAGTAGTAGTAGCAGCAGCAGCAGGAGTAGCAGTAGCAGTAGTAGTACCAGTAGTAGTAGTAGTAGTAGTAGTAGTAGTAGTAGTAGTAGTGGTAGTAGTACCTCACCACTGCCCAAAGCAAAGGGGCTGCTTCGGCTGTTGCGACGCCCCAGGAACGCAACGAGGCAGTGAAAGAAGCTATGCTTTTGCAGCACCCTCGGCTTCCTGCTGAAGTCTGGTCACCTGCACATGGGGTTCTATCCGTCATCCATGAGCCGGAATTCAACAAGTCGGGTCGGCTCATTGCCTTAATTGCCCCTTGCCAAGCCTGATTTACACTCTGCTCACACTCAGCCTCTGGCGGAATCAATCAGTTTCCGAGTCCAAAGAGTCCTACGTCCTCGGTGAACATCATGATTGAGGGTCAATGGGTTAGCCCGTTGCCTGCTTAATTACCAGCATCGTCTTCCGCATCATCGTCGTCGTCGCGGTCATAATCAGTCACCAGCACTACATCACTTGTCAGCTCACCGCCATCACTTTCATCGTTCATCCACACCATCACCATCGTCACCATCCTCTGTATAATGGCCAGCACCCCCCCCCACACCCCCGACACGGCGGTGATGACTCGTACAATGACCCAGCTTTTTCTGGCGATGATGATCATCATCAGGGATGACCAGATTTATGGTGATGCTGGTGATCATGGCATAGTGATGAACACCACGCCACCATCAATCAACGTCATGGTTCCACGTTCAGGGGTGGGCAGGAATGGGAAGAGCAAGTGTGCATGGGGGTGCACATTGGCGCTCTGCAAGATTTCAGGCACCCTCCAAAGTCCTGCTCCAACTAAGAGAAGGCAGTTGACAAGGCATCCACTCGCGACACCACATGCCTGGTGCTATGCGGCGACAGAAGCACGGAAGTCCCCTGTCAGGATGTGTCGCGCAACAACCTTCCCACCCTGAAGCCCTAAGCCCAACACCCGAAACCATTGCGAGATGGTAGACCGAGGAAGAAGATGGATCATCCGAACATCGTCCGATTCAAGGAGGCGCACCGTGGCCGAGGGGGCCTTTTCGGCGGGCTCGGTGGGAGTGTCGGATCAAAATGAATGGCGCGGTAGATCCTTAAGACTAGGATCCCGAATGTGGCCCAGCTCAATGAAACCAAACTCAACCCAGGGCTCTCGGCTAATTGAAATCGAGTGCGGTGCTGCGGATGCAGGAAGCAGTGCCTAGGAATGAAGCCCGATGCTCCGACTGTAGCCTTCATCTGTACAGTATTCCTGGTCATCATTGCTAGCGGTGGTGGACATGCGTGAGCTATCTCGCGCTCGTTTGTCTGGCACGAGAGTCGTCCTGCAAGCGGACCACCAGGATTCCGTGAGAGTCTCTGGCAGGGATTCTGTGGAGCATCTAGGAGTTCGGGATATTGATGGCTTAGCTTGTGACTGCGAAATTCAATATCTTGGCTCAAGACAAGACGGGCGAGACTCCGGGGGGGCCTGCCGTCATGGTCACGGGCTGAGATCCATTCTGTGAAGGGTTGAGTTTAGGGCCTTCAGGCTCCACAGGCAGGCCTGGGCCTCAAGGTTCGGGCTTAAGAAGCTTCAGGGCCTCACTGGCAGTGCGCTGAGGCCGGAAGTAGCCGGCAGTAGGGTTTCGCGGGCTCGGGCTGAAGAGATTTGCGGGGGGGAGGTGGGGGGGGGGGTGTGTGTGTTCACGTTTTGGGGAGTTTTACAGCACAGAAAGCCATCAGAAATTCCCGCTCCATTGCCCCAGGATGCGCAACTTCCACCCGGAAGAGGCTCCCGGCTCGTCCTTGGAAATCGCTCTGGGGTGTGGGTTTTGCAGAGGTGTCGGAGTTTGTGTCAGAACTCATGTGAATTGGCAGAGACCATTGCTTAAATTATGGTCTCACGATGACTGTCATCATGATTATTATTATCGTTATCATTCTCTTTTTCATGACTCCTGATGATGGTAGTGATGACGATCATCATGTCACTGTCACCATCACCATGGTCGTCGTCGTCATCGTCATCGTCGTTGTCATCGTCATCACCATCGTCATCATGACCATCATCATGGTCAACATCATCTTCTTCTTCTCATCAGTGGGTTGTCTTCTTAGACATTGGCCATCATCCTTCTCGTCATATCCATAACCATGACTTCAACCGACGCATCACCGGCAAAGGTCCCATTCTTGAAGAGGTGAGGATCATGCCCGGACTCATCACTGGGTTCCTCACCAACAGTCTCTGGGTAGTGTTTAGAGGGATCGGAGCGGGACCCCTGGGTTGGAGGTGGCGCCACGGGCGTCCATGCCCCGTCTGCGGGCCGGGCGGAGGCATCAGGGCTGTTTTGCTTCTTTCGAGGCTTAGGCTTACAATTCGCTAGAGCTTTGTGTTCAGGGTAATTAGTGTCTATAGGTTCGCTGGAGCCTCAGGCGTTGAGCTCTTCTCATCGGCAAAAGTCTTGGGGGCTGGTTGTGCTACTGAGACTAAAAGCCTCAGCATGTCACTGAAGAGCCGCTTACTGGTTTTTACACTCAAGACCACTGTAGGGTCGTTTTGGAGTTCGGAATGGGTCCTCCAACTGGTGGAACAATTCTGCGAGGTATAAGGCTATACTCTGTATCAACTTCCCCATTAAGGGTTTCTTTGAGGATGCATGTTGCAGTGTTGTTTTAGAAAGGACCCCTCGGCGAACCCTGCCAGGCTCCCAAGTCTTCAACTGAGTTTCATGGCTCAAACGAGTCTCAAGCCGCAAATGCCACTCAAGACCTCAAGGCCTTAGCTAGGGCTTAGGGCCTGGTTTAGGGTTTAGGGATCTCAAAATCCTCGACCCCAGAAGCCCAGAGCCCGCTGATCTTCCCTAAGGCCCTGAAGAACATTGGCCGCAACATGGTCCGGGTCCCAGCTTCGGTCCTGCTTTCACAGAAGCCCACATGGGTCTTAGTCTGAGAGCTCAGGCTTCCTTGCTCCGTGACGAAGCCCCCACCCTCACATTTGGGCTCTCCGAGCCTCATGCCCTAAAACCCCGAGCCCCTAACTCTAGACCTTGAACACCACACCGTCACTACACCTGTCGTCTTGCTGTGGTCCCTTTGCCGAGTAGGACGACGGTGGTGACATTTAACCCGAAAGCCCTGGTGGCACCTCGTTCTTCAGGTCCTCTCCGGCATGGCTGAGCCACCGCGGGATGGCCATGAGGCCGAAGACGGGGTTTGGGGAGTTTCCAGGCCACCCCTACTATTACCGAGTTTGGAGGCCTTCTTGTGGGCTTCATGGAGGTTTCCAGCACCGTTCCAGCACCGCAGGAGTAGATGCTTAGGAGCACGCAAGGACCCTGGAGCTAGAGGCCCCAAAGCGCCAAAGCCTGCTTCAACATCACCCACTCACCCTGGACGACAACGTGCTGATTTGAGTCGGAGTTCATTTTTTCGTGGACCCGAGCTGCCCAACCTACTTGAACCCTCGTGCAGATCAGCTGTGGTTCAAGTGCAATCACCAGGAGTGGCTGCAGCAGTGGACACGAGCCGGCAGCGTTGCGCCTTTTGCAACGGCACCTTTTGCAACGAACTACTTCGCGGCACCGGCCTGCATTGAAGCAACGAATGGTGCGCGTGCAGGTGTAGAGGTCACTCAGATTCTGACAGTTGTTTCATTCCATGCCATGCCGTCTCTGCCCATATTTCAGTTCGGATTCTAGCTGTGCTCCTTCTTTGTTCTCTGGCTTTGAAGCGTTTCGGAGCCCGAAGAAAGAGAGGAACTGACGGACCCTCTACGAACCAGGTGCGAGAGGCCCCGGCCCACATGCAGTGGCACACCAAGGTGCAAGTGAAGGCGCAGGGACCCAGGGTTTCGGATTTGGGCTTCGTGGGAGGGTGCGGGCTCTCGAAGGCAAGGCCTTTATGGCATTGTGTTCATTCAGACGGCTTAGGGCGCAGAGAAGTTTGAGAGTCATACGATAACATACACGCCCTGCGCTGTAGCACCTCGGTCCTAAGCCCTGCATCGGATGGCGTTCCTAATATGGGATTATCAGGGTCTTTGCCAGGTCAAGGGTCAAGGGCATGAGCTTCTGTTTGCCGCATGTGTGTCTGGGTGTCAAAGCACAGAGTGTGGAGGGTTGCAGAGATTTTTGCTTTCCATGGTCCTTAGCGGGCTTCTCCGGCCTATGACAGGGCCCAAGACCCCAACCCCTAAATCTCGAGCCTTGAAACTTGAACCTACCTTCTGCAGACATGTGCCTTGCCCTCCTTACGCAGAGACCCTCTGAAGCTCCGGAGCTGAAGCCCAGTAAACCCTAAACCCTAAACCCTAAACCCTAAACCCTAAACCAGAGCCCTGAGCCCTAAGCCGTCAAGAGTCCTCCACTCTTGCCAGCCATCGACCTTAACGGCACAGCGGGTGCTGAACAAGGGTGGAGCAGAGGTCCGAGCCTCGAGGTGATTGATTTAACAAATGGGAGTTTCCGAAAATTAGGGGTACCTTATTGTGGGGCCCTTAAAATTAAGGATCCTATTATTTGGGGGGTACTATATTAGGGTCCCCTATTTTCGGAAACCCCCAAATGGAGTTGTTGTAGGGTTAATGTCACAATGTGCTAAACCAACAGATCGCACTGTCGGTTTGGCCAGTGTTGTTCCTGTTCGAGCAACTCCAGCAGTATCGAAGATCGTGTCAGGGTTCATGCCTGCGGGTCGTGAAAGAACCAGCATCTCAGTTTCTTTCTTCGGGCCTGAAGCTCCACATGAGCGGCGAAGCCTCGTCCCTCCCAGGCTCTGATGTCGGAGACGGCGAAGGCG